CCTCTGCTCTGCCCTGGTGAGACCATACCTGACATACTGCATCCAGTTTTGGGCTCCCCAGTTCAAGGGGGACAGGGACCTACTGGAGAGAGTCCAACAGAGAGCTATGAGGATGACTAAAGGACTTGAACATCCCTCCTATGAAGAGAGACTGAGAGAACCAGGGCCATTTAGTCTTGAAAAGAGACGTCTGAGAGGAGATCTTATTAATGTATACAAATATCTGAGGAGTGGGTGTCAAGAAGAAAGAGACAATCTCTTTTCAGTGGTGCCCAGCAATAGGACAAGGAATAATGGATAGACGAAGGTTCAACAAAAGCATTAGGAAAAACTTCTACACTGTGAGGGTGACAGAGCACTGGCACAGGCTGCCCAGGGCGGTTGTGGAGTCTCCTTCTCTGGAGACTTTCAAAACCCGCCTGGACGCGTTCCTGTGTGGCTGCCCTAGGGGATCCTGCTCTGGCAGGGGTGTTGGACTAGATGATCTCTAGAGGTCCCTTTCAACCCGTAACATTCTATGATTCTATGTGTGAGTTGTGGGTGTCCACCCACCTCAGGGACTGGTACTTGCAACTGTTGTCACTTTGTGCTGATAGGCTCAGTGCTGGGCATCCTTTCCAGCCAGAAAATGCCAGGACTAAGGCCTCATGTGTGAAAAAACATCCCCTGTTTTTTCAGGATGCAATTGTTTTGAGCAACGAGAAGAGATGATGTTGTACAACAGGGATATCCAGAGAGGTGCTGGGTGTCTCTGAAGGGCTTTAGGAGGTAGCTTTGCTGACCGGCCAAGGGGAGCGGTGTTTCTGGCTGTGATACCAGTTTAAAACTCAATGCTGGGAAGGTCAAGCATCTACTGTAAGCTGTTTCCCCTCTTTGTGCCAGTGACGTGCTTGCCCTCCCCAGGGGCACCACAGATAGCCAGCGCTGGGGGAGCCGAAGGGTCGGCTGTTGGCAAGATGTAAATTGTGCTGGTCTCAGCATTAGGGCAGCCACTTTCATTTCTGGGGACTGATTTCTGCTTCCTTTCATCTTTTCTTCTCTCTCCCTGTAACTGCCTGATCCACATCTTGCTCCTATGCAGCCTTCTGTCATGTCTGCCTGGTCTTGGGGCGCAGCAGCTTCTTGGGGTGGTAGCAGTGACAAAAGCTGGGTTGGAGAGGAGGGTGCTTGGGCCCCTGGGGGAGACCCACAGCAAGGGCCAGGTTACTCTGTCCCCTCACTCCCAGCAGTAATGCCACAGTGAGCAGCTGTCCCCAGTAATGCTGATTTTGCTGGGATTTCTGTAATTACCCTGTTCTACCCTAGTGCTGGAGAGGGGGAAAACTAGGCACTGTCCACCCACAGGCAGGATTTCACAGACCCTTCAATGAGCACAGGACAGATTGGGTATTTGAGACCTCTGCCTGTTGGATGAATCCTGGCTCACTTCACCAAGTGTCAGCTTTGTTGAGACTGGAGCGACTAAGCAGCTGAAACGAGTAGTGCCAAAGAGCAGTGGCCACGGGGTACAAAAAGTACAAAAACAGGTGTGGAGCACCCCTCGAAACACCAGGTTTCAGGGGCCATGGCATGACTCTCTGAACAGGGGGCCGTGAGGTGTTTTCTGCCCTCCTGCCCACTCTGGCTGCGCTCTGGGATGCTGAGGCTGTGGACAAGCATGCATTTTGCCCTCTGAACACTGCAGTGCTTTCTCCAAGCCCTTATTGCTGAGTATCCATTATTTATATTCCCCCTCCTATTAAAATACAGGACATCTTACTGCAGCTAGCATTCACCTCAGAAGTCTCCTGGGAGAGATTCGTGAGTGGTAATGAGAGCACGGGAGCCTTTCAGCTCGAGGACATCTCTCGGCATCCAGTTCCGTGTGCAGAAAGTGCTGACTGGGTTTGGCTGATGCCCAGACTGAGAGCTGCTGCTCAGGAGCTTTTTCTCCTGGTAGTTCACAGCCCATGCTCTCAGCATCAGTGGAGAACAGAGCTCCAGGCAGGGGCACCTCTTCTTTCGCAGGGCACAGTGCATCATCATGAAAGCAGGATCCCTGATACTCTTCTCACTCCAGTGCTTGCAGCAGAGGTGGGAAATGGCACCAAGTGGCTTGATTTTTTGGGAGATTGAAGATTACTCAGGAGTGATGGGTCCTTGGCCCTCTCTATTCCCTGGTCTGCCCAGCTGCAACCTGGAAAGCAGCGGGAGCATGAAGGGTGGGATGGGGTCCTAAAGCATTGCTGATATCAGGTCAGAGCTTCCTGTGGTCTGTGACCCCTCCACTGATGTCCCTCCCAAGCACTTTGTCAGTCTCCCCATGGTGTTGGGCTCCACACTGCCCCCTTCCCAGGATGTCATCACTCTCCCCCCTCCTTTTCCTCTCCTACAACAACTTTGTAAAGATGTGGGCCTGGACCTGCATGTAGCATAACTCCATGCTGGGGCAGAACACAGGGATGATGGGATTCTGTTCTTCTCCCACAGCCACGTGTGCTGGTGCTGCTGCCAGCCACCTGCTTTGACCCCCGGCAGCCTCAACAAGAGCAGCGTGGGGCTGCGCCGGCACTGCCGCGGCGCGTGCCGGGTAATGAGCAGATCAGCTGGTGGCCAAAGTACAATTACAAGTTGTTGTGGGGAGCTGCTGTCTTCCAAGCGAGCTAATTGAAAATACATTGAGACCATTATTAGTAATTATAAGGTAGCTGGCGTTCTGCGGAGGAGAGCGATGTGGGACGTGCATGCGGTGCGTTCGTGCTCACCACCCTTTAGCAGGACCCCAATGGGTGCAGGGGGTGTGGGTGGCCAGGTCTAGTGAGCAGAGCTGGGGAGGTGCCACCACCACCGCTCTCACCTCCTCGCCTCCTTCCCTGGTGACTCTGCCACATTCCCCATGGATGCCAAGGAAATGGGGAGCTTGGGAAATGAGCCAAGAGCAAAGTGGCTTCTGAGTCTGAGGTTCATGCTGAGGGAAATCTGCCTCCTGTACTGGTTTTCTCCCTTCTTCCTACAGCCTCCTCCAAGCTGAGCCCATCACGTGCCTCTGAGGAGGGTCCAAGGTCCAGCCGGGCAGGGCTGGGGAGGCGAGGGCTGGCAGCCAGCTGCGAAATGAAGCACCTGTTCTTCCTCCTTGGTGTCCTGCATCTCCTTGGTGAGTATCCCCAGGGCCAACTGCCACAGCGAGCAGGGGTGACCGCTGGATGACTTCCTCGTTGCGGGTGTGCTTTTGGCAATCCTGTTTCAGAGCAGAGCCGCAGGCTCTGTCACTTCAGGCGTATCTGTAACGCCAACAGGATAAGGCATTTCCAACCGGATGGAGAGAAGGCAGGGAATGAGGCTGGGATTACTCTTTCATCCCTACTGTACCGCTGCAGCTTGGGTTTTTCTTCTCTTATTTGAAGGCAGTGGCTCTGAGCTGCAGGACACAGTCTTTGTTGAATATGCATGTTGCTTTGATGTTTGAGACCACGCTTCCCTGGAGACAAGGCTGATTAAATAGCACGCTGATATTTCCAGGGCTGTGGAGGGTGCAGGAATGTATCAGCGCAGCTGTGTAGGGGAAAAGGCTTTGCAACAGGAGATTAATCTCTGTGGCCCCAAAGCCCCTGGCCAGAGGAGATGCCGCTGCAGCCGAGGAGGCACATGGAGCTGTCTCTGCAGTTGATGTGGCACCAGCTCAGATGACGCAACTCCTCGCAACTTTGGGAAGCATGTGTGAAATGGGGCTGGCTGAGCCTTTCTGCTGGAGATTTAACCTCTCTCTTCCCTGGCTTCTGGGGACAGGAGGGACGCAGGGACAGAACTACTTGCAATTATCATCTGGGGCCTTTTATCCTTTCTTAAGTGCTTGCTGACTCCAAGCCAGCAAAGTGTGCCCACAACACTGCAAGCACATGCTTGGGTCCTGTTCTTATCACCGCTACAGTCTTTTCCCCTCTCAGTAGGTTTTAAAGTGGATGTGGGGCAGGAGGGTTTTTGCTGCCTGAGGCAGCTGAAAGCTGTGGCCCTGTATGGGGCTGAGGGGGCCCTTCTGCACCTTGCACCTGGGCTCCAGCCCTTGTTCCTGCATTAAGGCTTTAATTCTGGTTAAAAAATACATCATTTCCTCTTTGCCCGGACATGCCTACGTAGAGCAAATGGTCTCAGCAGAGCCCCTGGCAGAATCAATGCAAACTGCGCTCTGAGGCCATCATTGTGTGCTGATAAAGCCTCTGCCAGCAAAACTGGCCACATCCTTCCCCACTGCTTGGACTAGCAGGGCCCAAGCTTTCTGCAGTGCCCTTCTCTCCATCAGCTGGAGTCATCCAGACTCCTCTCCCCAGGTCAGGCCAGGGGGACCTTGCAAGCCCCAAACACGTTTGTGCCACCCATCCCATAGAAAATGCCCTTTTAACCTCTTGTCCCAACCTCAGGGTTCTGCTGGCTCTGTGTACCTAGTCTGTACCTGCTGGAAACACGAAGTTCAAGGGATCTCTGCACATTTGATTAGTAGGAGCGGTAACAAAAGCCACTGCAAGAAGCGCTTAGCTACTGAGTGTATGTTGTTCTTGCCCACTGCCTGCAGGACTTTCCTGCTTTCTCCCTACTGTCAAGTATTTGTCCCCCTGTGCAAAGGAGGGCTGTGACTGCTTGACGGGCAGCACACAGGGGCTGCTCTTGGGCAGAAAATCTGAAAATCTGGCCTGAAAAGACCAACCTATCCCATAGCACATCCCAGAGAGGGCTCCTATTGCCTCCCACAGACTGGGTTACACTGGTTTCCCTGCTCCTCCCAGCTGCTGCCACCGCCGTGTACAAGCAGTGGATCCCCAACACCAATTTCGAAACCGCCTCCAACTGGGATAAAGGCAGAGTGCCCTGCGCCAGTGACACGGTTCATTTTGAGAAGAACAAGGTATGGGACATTTTTATGGCTTATTTATTTATTTATTTATTGCAAAATGCCATCAGGCATTGAAAAAGCCCTTTGCTGCCAGGGGGAAGCTTACTTTTATTTTTCCTTTTCTTGCAGGTCATCTCAGTCTTCCTCGGGTCTCCCCACACGCTGACAGACATGGTAAGCCCCATTTCTGGGATTATTTCTTTTTTCATTGGGCAATATAGAGGGGGACACCCTAAAGCCCGCTTTCCTTTGGAAGAAATTAATTTTTACTCCCTGAAGAAAGGCAAAAAGCCCTTCCATGGGACTGAGATCTTGGCAGTGGTTTGCTGAGGAGCACCAACCTGCGGCATTGCTGGCGCAGAGCAGGCTGTAGCCCCGGGGCAGAGGCTAAGTGAAGCTGACATCAGATGATCTTGAAATGAAAACAAACTGTTCTAGGAAATCCCAAAATGATGCTCAAGATATTTCCTTTCAAGTGCCATTGAGCTTTACATTATTCTGTGGTGCTGTTAGCCTGGCCATGGCAGGTTGGGCACGACACCCTGCTGAAATGTGTATGTTGGGAGAGATCAGGCTGGGGGGGTTCTCAGTGAAGAAGGGTTTCTGAGCAATCTGATGTGCCCCCAGAAAAGGAGCCCTGCCTGGAGCAGGCTGACAGGCAGGCAGAACAGTGCATGTTCTCAGTCCCCACAGTTTAGAGGACTAATTTAACAGGGAGCATGGAATAAAGGGGAAAACCAAACCTTCGCTGCCCCAACACATCAGTGCAGGATGGCTGACCAGTGATTCCCATCCCAGGGCTGGGATGGCATGAAATGGGCTGAATCCAGTTTGCAAAACCTCCTCCCTGAGATGGGACAAGGCGGTGGCTGAGTTTTCTCTCTCAGTCTTAGGGCAGCTTTGCTCTTTTACCAACCATTAAATTTGAACAAACCCTTGAAATTTACGTGATATAATTTGTTCAGGCTGTCTACACCACTAATAGTTTTGATGCTTTAATAACGCCATGCGCCACGTTTAATCCTTCTACAAATATTTGGAGGAGATACTTTATTTATATGGCATTTTAAATATGAATTTTTGAAAGAAAGAATGTACTGGGGAAATACGTACAAATGTAATGTAATAAATGATGTGAAATTTACCCAGAGAAGAAAAGAGCAAAATATCACTCCAGTAGATTTTATTTTACTTACAGATGAATGCATAATATTTCCAAAGCACTTTTATCGGAGGCCTGCAAAGCGCGTAATTACAAAGCAGCGTTGCTCATTATGGCGTGAGCCTTTCACAGTCAAGCTAACGAGCCAAGCAGCCCTGCAGCTGCCTGACACAACCTTTGCACAACTAATGACACCCGTGGCCACCCTGACTGTCCCCCGGCTGCTCGGGTGGACGTTTCCCATAGCGACTGAGTGATGGGGTCAGGGTGCTGGAGTGGCCCCCAGCTCACCCCCATCAAAGGATCCAGTGGTCCTCACAGGACCCCCCGGGGATCCTCTGCTGCCCTGGAGTTCCTCCAGGACCCCGCTGCTGGCAGGCAGCTGTGCAGGCTCCAGGCTTGCAGTGAATATTATAGTCCCAACGCTGTGCAGGAGAAGAGGTGGGCTGGGGGTGCCATTAGGGAATAAATCACGGTGGCAACACCGACTGTGGAGCATGCCACTGTTCCTCTCCAGCCGGGGGCTTGTCCCAGGCTGTAACCCATATTGCAGCTCATGCTCACACCTTCCTTCTGAGCATCACCACCCCAGTGACTCCTGATGAACTGTCCCAGCAAGTTTCCTAGCACGGTGGTTAATATTTCTGCTTAATTTCAGCTCAGCCACTTCCCTACTGTGCACTGTCGTGCTCTGTTGTCACCAGGTGATGCAGGGACTGTCAATCTTTGGAATGAAAAAGTAATGAAACCCAGCACCTGAGCCGGTTTGTCACTTGTGGGGATGGCGTGAAATTTGGCAACAAGCTGGTTAGAAAATGAATTGGTTGTGAGGCTTTTTCCAGTGAGGCTGGGCTGCACCTGTTCGGCTGCTGGCTGTGCCGCACTGGAGCATTAATCACTTAA